TGTAGCACACTTTGATAAAACCGTTCGGTTGTTTCGAGAGTGGCGTCGATTATTTCAATGTTGATAATATTTCTACACATCTGATTTGCAGTCGAACTAAGTTTGGTTTCACCAAGAGTTGCGTCTGCTTGATTTGCAAAATCCTTGTTTGTGGGCTTCTCTGAAAGAGTCTTGTGCTGAATGTGCTTGTTCATGCCACCTCGTCTTGTTGGACCTTTTGGTCTTGCCAGACACTGGTAGCATTGCGGTAGATGCTGATTTTGCACTTAATAGTGCCGCTTTGCTCTTAGTCTTGAGCCTCTTGGAAACTGTGGCGTATGTTACACCTTAGATCTTTACTGGCCATTTGTGCAAAGGGCGTCTGGAAACAAATTCCTATGTTTCTCGGTGCTTTGGCTCATTCTTTGGCTTGGACGTTGGTGAGACGGAGACGTGTTGAGCAAGAAAGCAGACGAACTCTTTTCTTTTTGGATGGTGGTTTGAAGCGCATTCGCGCCGGATCCGTTGCTCCGCTCACACCCACTCACCGGCTTCGCTCATTCACACTTCCAGTTCATCGGCGGCGTCGTTTACCGCGAAGTCCTCAGTAGCGGCCCTGAGAGCATTTTGCTGTTGGAGAATCTGGGGGTGCTTGCAACTTTGCGCAAAGTTTTTCTGCTCCGACTGGACACGAAGAGCCGCCAGAGTCGACTAGGACTGCATTTTTTCTTTAAATGTTCATTAAGTTGGAGTTGAATCTTTTTCCATGTTTTTTCTTGCACAAAAGAGTACTACAACTACGAGCTACTGTCTTGACTAAAACGAGTACTGTACGCGGTGCTACTACTTACGATTGTTATTATTACTATTATTACTTATTACTATTACTACTATGTTACTATTATTAGGGGATATTACTATTATTACCTATTATATTTACTATTATTATACTATTACTTTACTATATTATTATTACTATTATGATACTATCTATTACTATTACTATTACTATTACTATTACTATACTATTACTATTACTATTATATTTACTATATTACTATTACTATTATTACTATTATATATATTATTACTATTAGTACTATTTATATTATTACTATTACTATTACTATTATATTACTATTACTATACTATTATATTGCTATTACTATTATTACATTACTTATTACTATTACTATTACTATTACTTACTATTACTATTACGTACTATTACTATTACTATTACTATTACTATTACTATTACTATTACTATTACTATTACTATTATATTATTATTATACTACTATTACATTACTATACTATTACTTATATTATTACTATTACTATTACTATTACTATTACTATTACTACTATTACTATTATACTTACTATTACTATTATATTACTATTACTATTACTATTACTATTACTATTACTATTTACTATTACTATTACTATTACTATTACTATTACTATTACTATTACTATTACTATTTACTATTACTATTACTACTACTATTATTATTATTATTACTATTACTATTACTATTACTATTACTATTATTATATTACTATTACTATTCTATTACTATTACTATTACTATTACTATTACTATTACTATTACTATTACTATTACTATTACTATTACTATTACTATTACTATTACTATTACTATTACTATTACTTTTACTTTTACTATTACTATTACTATTACTATTACTATTACTATTACTATTACTATTACTATTACTATTACTATTATTATTACTATTACTATTATTATTACTATTACTATTACTATTACTATTACTATTACTATTACTATTACTATTACTATTACTATTACTATTACTATTACTATTACTATTACTATTACTATTACTATTATTACTCTTTTATTTTTTTTTTATTTCTATTTCTATTTCTAGTTCTATTTCTATTGCTATTGCTATTGCTATTGCTATTGCTGTTGCTGTTGCTGTAAGCTTCTCGGCTCAGGAAAGGTCAGGCTAGCACAGTTGCCTTTTTTCTTTCTTGCCATGGCACTTGTCAGCGCCTGAGCAGTCCCGGTCCCAAGTCCGGGAGGGAGTATTAGATTTACAGCTCTCTAACATCTCCCAGAGGTGAGGGTTGTCGGTATTGCGAAGCCGACAGGAGCCGTACTCAACATGAGTGCTGCGAAACAGCCTAGTGGTTCGACCAAGCATCAGCCCGTTCCTAAAGGGAAGGGTAAACGCTCTTATCAAAGGGCAGCACGTAAAGCTCTGCTTGAAGGTAGTGCGGTCTACAAGGGAAGGACGATGTCGTCAACAGAGCTTGGAGTTGCTCCGGCACATGTAAAGCCCACCAATACCGGCAGAAGGACTCGGCCTTCGAAATTTACAGAAGATAAGAACCTCAGCTATCTATCCTGGAACGCAGGATCACTCACAACAGCAGTTTGGGAAGAGTTACTCTCCGTACTGCAAGGTGCCGCATTTCAGGATGTGAAGCTGGTAGCAATTCAGGAAACACACTGGAGGGGCTCTTGGCAATTCAGCAAGTCAGGCTGGCACGTGATCAGCTCTGGTTCCACAGGGGAGAAGGGAGCCGGGGTCCTCATAATGGTGCACTCCACGCTGTGCAAGTCACAGGATCTTCGCTACAACGAGGTTGTTCCAGGAAGAGTTCTCCAGGTCCGGGTGCCGAGCAACGGCATCTCACTGGACGTCTTCAGCTGCTATCAATACGTTTGGCGCTCTAAGGAGACAGTCGCTCAGATCTCCAGACCCTACTGTCGGAGCACCAGCTAGTCGCAACCAACACTTGGGGAGTGCATAGACCAGCCACCCACGAACAAGGCAACTCTATTTCACAGATTGACTTCTCGCTTGTCAGGATTGCACAGTCCCAAGGCCCCGCCAGGTTTTGCCGGCCACTAAGGACCTTCCCAGTCGCATCCTGGAGGGATGGTAGTAGGCATTTCCCCCTTCTTGGTAAACTGAGGCACAGCAGGAGATACTCCGCCCAAGCCTCAAAACCCTATGACCAGCAGGCAATGGAGGACTGCTACAGACACCGTTCCCCGAAAATACAGGCATTTGCCAGGGAGGTAGACTCCCTCCTTCAGGATCATCCCCAAACCTGGCAGAGTCTCCATCAGGCAATGAACTCAGCCCTCGCGACTCACTTTCCCAAGAGAAAGGAAGCAGCACAAAGATCAGATCTCAGCATCTGGGAAGAGCGCTCTGTGTTGCGCTCACTCCCACTAGCAGTCAAGGTCTTAGCAGAGTTCTTGCCCGAGCTGCAGGTCCGTATGGTGTTCCGATGCTGGTGCTCGTTCTCCCAGCAAAGTGCACAGGCGAGGGTAGCAAAGCGTCACAAGCAGGAGCGGCGGCGGCAGGAAATAGATGAACAACTCCAGCAGGCAGAGCTTAAGTCCAAGCAGGACGGGAGTCATTCCCTTTACAAGGTAATCAAGCGCTTCAGGTCGGGGAGACCCCAGGAAAGAGTTCAGCTTCGTGATTCTGAGGGTCGCTTCCTTACTGCTAAGGAAGAAAGAAGACAATTAGAGGAATATTCCCTAGACCTGTTCGGAGCAGGGGATGACTTCCCGCTCTCAGGGATACAAGGCACTGAGCAAGAAGTGCAAGAACAGCTTGGAACAATAAAGCTGGGCAAGGCGGTTCCTAAAGAGAGTCCTCCCGTAGTAGCCTGGCGCTCCCTAGGTCCCCAAGCAATCCGGCTAATCTCGGACACCCTGAAGTCACTGCAGGAAGGCTCTCGGACAGTGTCACCTCGTCACAGATCTCCTGGCTCCCAAAGCCTCCCAAGAAGCCAGATAAACCAACCTCACTCCGTCCGATCGGGGTGATAGCACCTGAGGGTAAGGTCTTAGCCGGACTCGTGAGGAAGAGACTCACCTCCCTGGACTGAGAGATCGTAGAGATCACTGACTATAGCTCAGTCACACCAAGGAGCTCCTCTATTGTGGCATGGGAGGGTGAACCAGGTGACCTAGGCGACTATAGCACTGCCTCCACGAACCCTGAGACCAGCTTCTCGTTCGAAGTATCCAAAGCGCTGGCAGCATGCCTCAGGCACGGACATAGACCGTACATCAATGTCACTTCGGCAGGCTGGGCCAAGCTGGAGGACGTGGTGTCATGGCCACGAGTGCAGAACCAGAACGCCACGGCAGGCGACCTCATGGAGATTGTTCGTCACAACACCAAAGGCAGGTACGAGTTGGGAGACTGCCAAGGCAAGAAGTATATCAGGGCGCTGCAAGGACATTCTCGCTCGGACGTGAACTCGACAGAGGTGTTAGAGGAACTCACGGAGGAGATGCTCCCCGGAATGCTCTACCACGGCACATTCTGGTCCTTGTACGATCCAATACGTCAACAAGGCCTTCTGCCACAAAACAAGATCTCCAAGGGCCGCGGCAAAGGAGGACGTGGCAGGGAGGGACGGCAGCATATCCATTTCGTGTCGGACAGCGACTATGGGAAACCAGGCGTCTCCGGCTTCAGAGAAAGCTCGTCCATGTTGGTGGCAGTAAACCCACGCAAGGCCTCACAGGCAGGGGTGAAGTTTTTCCGTAGCAAGAACGGCGTGATTCTCACCCCCACCGTCGTGCCTCCTTCTGTCATAGAGTACTATCAGAGTCTGAAATCAGGCACTAAGTACGGAGGCGACAATAGGCCGCTCTGACTCCAGAAAGAGAGCCCCGCCAAATGGTGGAGTCGCTCCCCAAGCAGACTTTGCAGCCGCTCAGGCAATAAATCGGAGGCTAAGACAACTTTCAATCGTGATTGATTAGTCTTTATTCTTGCCCAAAAACCTTTTGAAAATTTTGGGTGCGAAAATTTTCTGTCTGCATGTCAATCGTTGATTCGCCACACACTTTGTTCCCACGAAGCCTTTTTGGCTGAGGTGGGAGGTGGGAAACCCTAGCAACTTTCAAGGCCATATGGCTTGGTTTTGTTTTGTTGCTAGGGGTGTGTGTGTTAAGAAACCAAGTCAGCCTGCGAATTGAGCCATGGCTGACTCTGGCAGATCAAAGTTCCCACGGCTGGACGAGCCTACGAGCGACTTGGGGCGCTTGTATGAGCGGGCATTGAGTGAGGCAAGTGTGCAGCTTGCGGGTCAGGCTACCTTGAAGTTACCCTGGGAGAAGGGCATTTATGCCGAGATTTTCAGTGGTAGCGAGCTACCTAGGATGCCTACCTTACCTGTGCCTGCTACACTTCCAGTCGTAGATGTTGCAAGACCTGGGACCCAGCACAGCGAAGCCTTGAAGCAGACATCAGATCCTCTGCCAAAATTCGAGAGTGCAGTCTACAAGCACTGTCTGCATAAATCAACTATTGCTGCTGGCGGGAGACCCGGGACAGATCGAGATGCCGTCTACAGGCGCTGGCTTTGTATCTTGGGCCATAATCTTGCTGGCTCTAAGATTGGAGAGTACATTGCTGATGGTGCCGAAGACCCTCTTGTTTTGATTGCGGACACCTTTGGAGGGAAAAGTACGAGCACCTTGCTTAAGAGAGCCAGGTTTGTCGCCCGGATGCTTACGTGGGCGTCTGAGCATAGTCAGACGTTTTTTCCGCTGCGGCTTGGACCATTGCTTTCATTCATGCGCAGTTTGGCATCAGAGAGTGCCAAGGCCCAGTGTGGAGAGACGATCAATTTCCTTGTGCATGTCCTTGGTGTGCATGCCGATCTGGATATTTTGAAGCATCCTGTAATCCAAGGGCTTCTACGGGGGTCTCGGTCAACAGGGAAAGAGATCAAGCAGTCCAGGGTACTCACTGTCCGGGAAGTTATGGCGCTCGAAGATATGCTCAGTGATGCATCCCTTGATCCTGTTGATCGATATGGTGCAGGAGTTTTTCTCTTCCAGATTTACAGCCGGGCACGAGTGTCCGACATCAGGAACATCCATCGCTTTGAGCTCGACCTGAGTGGAGATGACGGATACCTTGAGGCGAAAACGATGGACCACAAGAATGCGACCAGAGGACGTGGGCTGGGGCAGAGCTTGATTCTCGTTGCTCCGGTTCAGGGCCTGCGGGATAAGGCGTGGGGTATCCAGTTCATCGAGGTTGCAAAGATGGTTGGGTTCAACCTTCGACAGGGGCATCGTGGACCTTTATTACCTAGACTTACTGCCGAGGGTCAGTGGTCAGGGGAGGCGATCGGGTCTGATGAGACTACATCGTGGCTCAACGGTCTGTTGAATCGCGCTATGAGTGAGCAGATTGCGTCAGGGCTAACATCCCATGGATTAAAGGCAACAACCCTCTCCTGGATGACGAAGGCCGGGTATCCCGAAAAGTCTTGCCTCATTTTGGGACATCACGCGAGAGCGGGGAAGAAAACTCTTTACACATACGGCAGAGACGTGCAAGCCAAACCATTACGTGAACTACAAGATTGCATTCGTCTCATCAAGCGTAATGTGTTTGCTCCGGACTCGACTCGAAGTGGCATGTTCAAATCAGGCGAGAGCAGACATGAATCAAAGGCTGAGGTTACAGATCCTCTCATTCTCGCTGCTGAACAGTTCCGGTTTGGCGATCCTGATGAAATCATTGACACTGGAGGCGATGTCGGAAGTGAACACGAGCCCTTGCTCGAGGAAGGAAAGCCGGCTGACAATTGTGATGCTGAGCCTGAGCAGGATGCTGAGGATTCCGACTCGAGTACCTCTAGTTCTTCAGGTTCCTCTGATGACAATGCCGAAGCTTATGAGAGTTTCGCCAGTGATGCTGCCCTTGATTGTGCTGTGCCTCACTTAAACAAAGAGGTGGACTTGGATGTTTTCCAGAACCCCAAAACTCTTTCCCTCCATACCCGGGCGAAGGGTTCCGATGGCCCACTTATGTGTGGCCGCAAAGCTGAGGGAATGAAGATTTTTACAAGTAGGGTATACAGCAAGTTTTGGATGTGTAAGCAGTGTGAGCAGGCTCGACCGCTCAGGGACACGAAAGCTGTCGTTGCATACCTGAGCAAAGTTGCCAATCCCAAGAGTGCAGGACCTAGTGGTCTTCATTGAGGATGGCGAGGGCTATGGGCCAGCACAGCGCTTTGCGCGTGCACTCGCAGTTTTGGAGAACATGTGATGGGAAAACTACGCGAGGGCTCCGAGCCTGCATCGCACAGTGTGCCTGCGCTCGCGAACTTGTGCAAAGCGGATTTGCGAAGGTTGGGCGAGGGCTTCGGGCCTGCACAGCACATTGTGCTTGCGCTCGCAGTTTACTATCGTCTATTTTGTGATGGGCTGGGCGAGGGCTTCGGGCCTGCACTGCACTTTGTGCCTGCACTCGCGAACTTGTGCAAACCGATGTGGTGGCTAAGAGTCTGCTTACGTCGTGTGGTGGCTACGGGCCTGCACGTCGTCCTGAGGACGAGTGCAACCACATGACAGGAATCCTTGACTGGCGTGAGTACCGAATTGAGCCCAAAAGGTGTGTGGAACGTGGTGATGACACGTTGGTCACCCATGTGTGATTACGACTTGTGGGCAGCAGCGAGCTGAATGAATAGAGCCGTCTTATGCGCAAAAGACCAGCAGTAGTGTGTCGGCATGGCGGTTCCACTGACAGAGTCCAAGGCCGTGTTCTTGGAAAGATGTGAGACGGCCGGATTGCCAACGCCGATTCGGGACATCTTGGTTGGCAAGAATCTCAGTACCTTGGCAGGTCTCGCATTCGCAGCGGGGCAGCCGGGGGAAACACCGAGTGATGCAGCGCTTACCGGCCTGGCGAGATCCGGCACGGAGGAAGTTCCAATAGCGACCCTAGCCTCCTTGAGGCGGTTGGTGTTTGAAGCGCAGCTCCTCATGACCGCGCAGGTGAAGATGCTGATCGAGCATCGTGCCGATGACCAAAAGGCGGAATTAGCACCCGCAGAAAGATCGGAGCGAATCCAGAAGCAGAGCGAGCGCCTGGCCGGTGTTGCACTCCGCAACGAGTCAGAGTGCTCCTATGGGTCATATGATTTTGGTCATGAAGATGGTCCAGGAGAACTGTGTCTCCTATTTGTCTCCAGCTAGGTTTCCGTCGCTTTTTGTGCTTGCTCAAAACTGTTTTACATTTGTATTCTAACGCATGATGTTTCATCTTTGTTGCTCATCTAGCCGCAAAGCTGCTCGAGCAGAGAAGGGTCAAGAAAGGCATCATGCATGTCTGTGTGCTTCTTGGTTTCTCAACGACTCATGAGTCTTGGTCATTTTATGTGAGACATTGCATTTACATTCACTTTCCATTGAACTTGCTTAAGTAGCGAGTCGGCATCCTCAAAGGGGGGTCTCGCATGGCGGAGCCCTCGTCCGGTGCAGCAAGCCCGGCCAGTGATCCTCCGAGTTCGTCGGTTAGCACAGTATCAGAGATCTCTCGCCACGTGTTTGACTTGCAGATTCAGTTGAATTATTTGCGGGAACAGAATCAGATCTTGACCGATACGCAAGCATATCTTGAGGAAAGGATCCAGTCACTTGAGTCCTCGCGCGAAGTTTCAGAAAGACGCCTCAGTTGGTTGGAGCAGTTCATACAACATCTGCGTTCGATCTTTAGCCAGCTTCGAGACAACTTGTGATTTCATGGCACTTGTTTTGCTTGAAAAGGCGTTGCAGGCTAGGCAACATGCAGCTCCAGCTGCAAATGTTCTTGCGGTGCCAGATGCGACTTCACAGGTGGCGGCTCCATTGCCGTTTGTTCCTGAAACACAGGAAAGTGCTACGGCTACCACGCCTTGGGCCCGGCGTGCTGCTCGTCTTCTCAAGCGTGATGCTTCTGCTGTTGAGGCTGTTTCCGTGGTAGATTCAAATGCAGGCGATCAGGCTGCCCTCGTGCCGGCTGTGGCACCAAGTGTGTCTTCATTTGATTTGGATTCCTTCGAGTGGGTTTTGTCTGATGAAGTAATGGCACCAGAGCGCATTTTCTCAAGTAAGGGTTTATGGGTTTCGGATAAGCCTGCACCCCGTCCCGTAATTATGCAACCCTTGAAGCGCACAAAGCTTCCTGTGCCGGCCCAGGGTGTACGTCCTACTAGTCTTGCATCCCTTCGTCCGTGTATGCGGCCGACAATGTTGCACCATGTTAGTTCGGAAGGTCTTGGGTTTAGTCCTGCTCCCCGTCCCGCGATGCATGCATCACCGGCATCCAGGTCCTTGTTCCATCACGAGCGCTCGGTTGCAGCAGATCCCCAACCTCAGGCTAGTGCATTTGTCAGGCCGACATGCAAGCGTGCCCTTCGCCCGCCTCAGCAGCACTCATTTCTTGAGCACCCAGCAGGACGTGAGGCAACGAGCAGTGGCATTTTTCATGCAGGGACAAATTTTAGGCCTACTAAGGGCAGTGGGACTGTGGAGTTTGCAGTGCAGCATGATGCCAAGAAGCTTCAGTTGGCTCAGGCTTTATGGTTGGAACTCAAGCCGATTCTCTTGGATCACTCTGATGTGCTCCTTCAGATGTCGAGCTCCACAAATGAGCTTTTGCTTACTGAAAAGTTCTTCAACACTTTGGCGCCTTCCACACTCTTACGGTACATGACGGCAGTCTTAGCGGTTTTTAGGGCAGGGTTTGAGCTTGATTTGCCAGCAATTGATCAGCTTAATCAGGCGCAATTGGTTGATATGCTTTGGGCGACCCACCGGGGGCACTCGGCAGCCGACTTTCAGCCCGTCAACACCATCAAAGCCCTTCGATGGTTCCGTCGGATGCTCAATTTGCCCCTTCCTGATCTTTACAATGGGCTCGTGGCCATGTTGCTGGCCCCTCGAGTTCAACCACATAGAGAATCATACCCGGTTCCTATCAGATTGATGTCATATTGCGAGGTGATGCTCTTGGAGGCTCAGATGTCTTTGCAGGACAGGTGTCACGCGGGTGCTTTGCTCTTGTGTGCACACGCCTCCTTGAGGTGGTCGGATTCCCAGCGCATTCGGTGGTCATCCTTCGAAGTGTGTTCCGATTGCATTAGGGCAGAGGCCTTCAAGACCAAAACCACGCGCAGGGGCATGCCGCTGGCAGCGGGGGTTATGGGTTTCCATGGTACTGCGGATATTTTGGAGTTCACTTGGGTTTCAGCTTGGCTAGTTGCGCTTGGTGAAGTCTGGCATCGACTGCGCGATATGCATGGCGACAGCATTGATCCTGACTGTGTCTGGTTTCGGTTCGACGAGGCGACAGGTGATTTTGCGCCCTTATCCTACGCACAGTCGCTGCGAGTGCTGCGCTCTTGGTGCGTGGCATCCGGTGCTTGCGCCACTGGGGCGGAGTCAGTCTTCACTCTGCACTCCTTGAAGTCGGCTTTGCTGTATCTTATGCACCTTCGGGCAGTGGGGAAGGAGGATAGACTCTCAGCGGGGCATCATCGCCTCGACAGCGCTGCATTATATAGCAGATCAGACACCGTGGGGGCGCTCAGAGCTCAGGCCGTTGTCTGCACAGCAGTACGGGCCGGATGGCTGCCTCCTGCCCCGCAGAAGCGGGGGGCAGCTCATTCGATTCCTCAGCAACCGTTGTGCACCTTAGAAGCCGTGCCGCCTTTTTTTGAGGTTCCGCCCATTTTCGGTCCAGTGCATGTTTCTGTACCGGAGAATGCAGCGGGAGCGCATGTGCCTTCCGTGGCGGTCGAGCAGGCGCTGGTTCCGCAGGCCACAGTCGACGTCCAACCTTCGCAGGCGGAAGATAATGCATTCTTGAACGAGCATGCTTTGGTGTCTTCAGATTCGGAATCAGCAGCAGAATCTTTGGGCGCTCCCGAGGAGTTTGGTTACTTGGTAAGCGGATCAGGTGTCATGCATGTGGCCATGCCTTCATCTCATGGCACTCCTTGCAAGGCAGGTCTCGTGCGTCCGGCTTGTGGCACGTTGTGCAAGAATCTTCAACTGTCCATGTCTTTCGCACCCGGGTCCAGGCTATGCCGTCATCCAGCTTGCCATAAAATTTTTGCATCGGCCGGCTGACAAGCTGCTTCAGTTATGCACACAGTGTTGCCCTGGGGTTTTTGGCTTCTTTTCGGCTGGCTATGAGATAAGTGGGTTGCCAGAGTCGGCACGGTTTCAGTGGTGGGGGCTCGGGCCCTGGACACCTTCAGGGCGGTATGCCCGTTTGTTATCCCGTCTTGGGATATGGCATACAGCCGGTGGGGGCATTGCCCTGGACACCGCGCTGGGGTTTCGGGTGGCTGTTCTGGTGGGGACTGAAGTCCTGGACACCAGTGGTGGGGACAGAAGTCCTGGACACCAGCCTCGCATTGCAGATCTCCTTGGTTGCGTGCTCATAAGGCGTTGCAACGCTTGTAGCTGGTAGTTTTGTCGAAGATTCGATCTCTGGGCTATCGGACATGCCAAAAGAACGCTCTATGCATGGTCGTCGCTCAAGGTAGTCGCTGTGTGTGCTGCCATGTCTCATGCGTTACATGTCTCAGGTTAGGTGACTGTGCTGCGAGTGACTGTTGTTCAATGAACATCAACAGGAAGGTTGTTGGCTCAGCTGGTCATGGTAGGACATGTTGTGCTTTTTCAAGTCATACCACGAAGTTTCTTCTGTAACTTGTGTGAGCGTTTCCGAATTGATTGTGTTTCCATTGCGTTTAGCTTCCACGTTCGGTAAATACACTTTCTAGAAAAGAGCATGGCGCTATCAGAACCCAACCCCTTCTTGGCTCTCTCAGAGGAAGCCACTGAACAGGCCAGCCCAATGCGGGCCTTATTGGAAGGCTCGGGCATCCCGGAGTCTCTTTGGAAAGATGTGGCTGTGTTTGCCCCTGATGAGTTCGGGTCTCTTTCTGATGCAGAAATTCAGGAACTCTTAGATGGCCTTACGTACCCATCTCAGCCATCCGATCTGTTGGTAAAGGCCAGGATTCGCCTCTTGTGGCGGAAATGCCAAAAGTCGGGGGCACCCTTGCAACATGATCCTCCCAAGCCCAATCCCGTGGGGAGCACAGGTGCGCTTGCCGATCAGGCCTCATGGTCTGAGGCATTCCCGAAGCGTCTCAGTGGCGAGGCAGTCCGCCAAATGATAAAGGCTTTCAGTGAGAAGTACCCTTCGGAACCATTAAGCCCCGAGATAATGCCATCACCACGTCTTCTGTCATTGGTTCATCAGCAATTGCAGGATCGCCGTTGGCGATGGATACCGTGGAAGTTGCGGTTGTCAGAAGAACAATATGACTCTAAGTCTCTTGAGCGTTCCCTTAAGGCCCCACGGCTTGAAAATCTGTTGTGGGAAGAGATACCCAGCAGAGAGTTGCCTACACAGGGCATGGCTAAGAGTGTTATGGCAGAACTGCTTCATTTGCAGGCAGTGGCGATTGCGCTAGCAGACGGCGCCCATCTCTACACCCTGCGGGAGATGAACCGTAAATTTCTTGTCAAGTGTTTCGATCACTTGCCTCGGGATGGGGGGTTGCGAGTGCCAAACAGATTGGAGGCCGAGAACGCAGAGAAACAGCTTTGGCAACAGATCGCGGTCTTGTTCAATGAAGAGCACTGGACGATGGATCAGGCAATACGCGAGGTTGTCGTGGCTCGCAACGAGCTTCACGTTCTGCTCATGCCGAGGGCCGTCGCACCAAAAATTCCATGGCAACCGTGGACGCCGCATCGCATCAAAGGCGATGGCAAGCAGGGGAACCTCGGCAAGGGCGGCAAAGGGGATAAGGGCAACAAGGGCGGTTCTAAGGATGGCAAAGGTTCCCAGCGTCATACCTTGATGATCAATGGCCTGCGAGTGGGTACATCATGGATGCAAGGCAAGAACAAACGCCTTCTGTGTTCCGGGTTTCAGCAGGGCAAGTGTACTCGCGAGCAGTGCAAGTTCGAACATGTGTGTGGGGTGATTTTGCCAAACAATCGCATGTGTCTCGGGGATCACAGTCCGGCAGAGCACAAGCAAACGCCCCACTGACAGGCGGGGTGCATGTCTCAGCCCCTGATGTCGCCCCAATCGGGCGTTGTTCATGCGGAAGCAGACATGTCGGTCTTACATGCGGCTGAGGCATGTGAACCCATGCACACTGGCCATACTGTTTGTTTTGAGCCACAATCTGATGCTGAGGAGTCCAATCTTGATTTCTCGGATTTTCCACAATGTGATTCGTCAGGTCGCGCCCTGGCCACGTTTTCTGAAGTCCCACCGGTGCCCGCAGCAGTGGATGCTCCGAGCTCTGTGTCGAATGCTGCATGCGCCGCAGTGGCAGACCCGTCGTCTGCCGTGTCAGCTGCATGTGACACAATCTTGAACATTTTGCAATCCGTGGAGTGGCCGCCGTGCCATACAGCAAGGGCTGTGTTGCAACCGCGTGAAAACGCTGGTACCGGCTACTGGAATTTTGGGGTTAGGCCCTCGGAACCCGCAGTTCTTACTTCTATCACCCAAGATAAACCCGACATAGTTCGCCGTTTGAACGCCTTGTTTAAGGTTCTTTGGCCGGATCAATTTTGGAATGCGATTTGTATAAATCTCAACCGTGTAGCTAGCCTTCACCAGGACTTAGCAAACAGTGAGGGCTCCATGAATTTGAACGTCTCCGTTGGGGACTTTCAGGGGGGTGCATTGTGGCTGGAGTCAGCAACAGGCACTTTGTGGCGCCAGCCACCAGGCAGCCAGCACTGGGTGAAGGGCGAAGAGGTTCAGACTTTTCGTAATCCCGTTGCTTTTCCAGCGTGTGCCTGGCATGAAACCATGCCATTCGTGGGTACTAGATGGTCCATCACTTGTTACACGTTGCCCCATGTGCCAGCGGGTACATTAGCCAATCTTGGCTTTCCGGAGGTATCTCCGGAGCAACTTCCTCGTGTATCGCAGACACAGGAGTCAGCTGCCGCATCCGCGGTTCATTCCAGTGAGCCAATCTCAGCCCTGCCACCGGTGGTGGCCACACAGCGGCACCCTCTTTTCTTCTTGGATCTTTTCGCCGGTGCAGGTGCACCACTCTGTCAGGAGGCCGCACGTCGGGGTTGGGCGTGTATTCCCATAGATATTCTACATAACAAGGCATCAGACTTACGTGATGATCGCATCTTCGATAGCCTCTTGAAGCTTTCCCACTCAGGTGCAGTAGCGTTTGCAAACGCATCCCCTCCTTGCTGCGAATACAGCATTGTGAAGCAGTTTGATGGCGGACCGCCACCCTGCCGATCATGGGAATGCTTGGCAGGCTTTCCCTCCAACAATGACGAAGCCCAGGAGCGTGTTCGATCCAGCCACCTTCTGTTATCTCGGGCAGTCATGCTCTTGCACGCTGTATATCAGAGTGGCAATCACGTAAGCTTAGAACAACCCCGTAACTCTATGGCTTGGGCTGAGCCCGTGACTCAGGCTTTCCTTCTGGAAATTGCGGCGGATGTGATTCAGGTTGCAGCCTGCAGTTATGGTTCGAGCTATGCAAAGTACTGGGCCTTCGCCACCAGTTGGCGACCTTTACAGCAATTGCAAAGTACTTGCCAGCACGCTGCGGGTCATCATGATACGTTTCACGGTAAACGTGACGCCACAGGCCAGTTCGTGTCTCGGCATACGGCGGTGTTCCCTCCCATGCTGTGCAATGCGTTCATGGAGGCCATTAGCCCGTTGTTCCCAGAGAACTCACATGCTACCGACTTCACGTCATTGGATCAGGCACTTTCTGCATTGCCAATTCGCCCCTTGAACGATTTCCCGACTGGCCAGCAGGATGGTGGCGGCATTTACAGCCAGCCCGACTGGACTTCTCCTCCGGCGGGGTCAAAGGATACTTTCCGCCAGTTGCGTCAAGATATGTGGGGGTTTTTCAAAGAGCATAAACTTTTTGATCGCCTTCGCAAACATGTCAGCCAGTCATCGCAAGAGCCTCTCATTCAGCAGCATGAGCTCCCTGCATTGCGGTCGATTTGGGAAGATTGGTTTAGAGCCCAGGGCTTCACGGATTCAGTTTCATGGGAGGTCGCGCCCGACCAGCCTTACTGTCTTCAGGCACTTGAGCTTCTGAGCAAGGCTCTTGACGACCGTGATGTGGCACTTTGGAAGGACTTACAGGCTGGGGTGCCAACGGGTGTTGATGGTGACATTTCTATGAGCAACTGTTTCTTGCCTACCCCAGCGCATTTCGATCCAGAAGATTTTGATGTGCAAGTGTGTTCGGGCAACTGGCCTGGGGCCAATGAGGAGCCAGAATTGCTGGCGGAACTTGTGCAAAAAGAGGTGGACAAGGGCTACGTGCACGTCTTCGACTCTCTCGAAGAAGCCCAAGCCAAATGGCCCCGGGTCGCTGTAGGCAAAGTGAATGTAGTAAAAAGTGGTTCTAGAGATCCTCGCTTAATTGTCGACCCATCGGTTAGTGGGGTTAACCCTAGCTGCCACCTGCCTGAGCGCTTTCTTCTCCCCGGTCTCGGTGACATCCGGGCAGTGTATCCCCTGAGGGGTGTGTCGGGCTGTATAGCCGCATGCACATTAGACATACAGGCAGCCCACAAAACCGTTCGGATTCGGGCGAGTGAACAAGGATTGCTTGGTTTTTGTGTGAACGGGAAATACTATTTTTATAAAGTGGCACCATTTGGAGGTTCTTTTTCAGCGTTGTGGTGGCAACGCGTCGCGGGCTTTTATGTTCGCACCGGCCATCGCCTGATCTTCATCAGCCACGTCCTACTTATGTACGTGGACGACGCATTACTCCTTCAGCACAGTTCCGCCATCGAATTTTCCGCGCTCCTTATGGTGGCATTCTCACAATCATTTGGATACCCGATCAGTTGGCGTAAGCTCCAGTTGGGGCCCAAGCTGGAATACATTGGGTGGCAGCTTAATTTCCGTGCAGGCACGTTTTGTCTGCCTGATGCTAAGGTGGCCAAACTTTTGCAAAGCTTGATGCAAGTGCTCCGGTCCGACCCTTGTACCAAGCGCGATTTGCAGGCTCTCATCGGTCTCCTTCACTGGATATTACAGATGTCGCCCGAGTTGCTACCGTGGCTGTGCTGCTTGTACCACGACATGTCTCGTCCCTTGGGCACAAATTTTTCTTTGCATGCAGGCGCCTGGCAACAGCTAGCAGACACCTTGACGGATGACTTGCATTTCCGCAAATCGCCACCAGGGTCGACCATCCCCCCGGGCAGCAAGTTGTTGAGTGCTCGCCATGTGGAAATCAAGTGCAAAGCGGACTTGCGCTTGGTGCGGGCCACAGGCAAACGTGTCTGGATTCGTGTGGCGGATGCATCATCTAGCAAGCGTCGAATCAGCACGGTGAGCAGACAGTTCATCATGTTCTGGGTGCACTTTTGCATGCGGCCTCAGATGCCCCGCTGCTTGTCTTTGCCGCCTTTGGACTTTCAGTATTCATTAGCTGCTGACGCTTGTGCTAAGGGCAACGACATTGGGATTGGCGGATGGGTTGAATTGCCGAATCAGCCCATTGTTTGGTTTTCCGAATGGTTTACGGTCCAAGATTTCCGTGCGCTGGGATTGCCCATGAAAGATGATGCTAATTTGGACATTACAGCGTATGAGACGCTGGCACAACTGGCTCTCTTGATCGCTTTCATTTCCATCACTCCTACTGGGCGACTTCGGGTATGCATCCCATCTTGGTCGGATAATTCGGGGACCGAGTCCTTGACGAACAAGCTTTTCACAGTACATACACCGCTGTGTTTCTTTGCTCAGAAACTGGCTACGCGGAGTTGGCAGTCTGGAATCTCTCTTGATTGTACACACATCGCGGGATGTCACAATGATACAGCTGATTTCTTGAGCAGGTGGAAAGGCGACTTGCAGGAACTTCCTTCCCGGTTCATCTTGGATCACCGGGTTCGTTGCCCACTCACAGTCTTGTGGGAGGGCGAGCGAGATGTTCGCGTTTTCCCGCCAGATGCTAACTTGCTTTGGCAGCCGCCTGTATCGTCCTTCAATGCACACAGCGTGTGAGCACTCGGCATCGGGCAGGTTCAACATCTCACGGTGCGCGGTCGGCCTGGCCTTCCCCCGTGGGCTCTTGGGGCTCCTGCAACACCGGTGTTGATGTGCATCATCGTCGGGGTTCGACACTCACGGCGCGCGGTCGGCTTGCCTTCCCCCGTGAGCACATGCGTTCCCCTGAGGGCGGTGTTGTGAGATGCAGAACATGCATCAGTGAACGCGATAGGCATGAGTGGCAGGCAACTAGGTCTGATTGCATACGCAGGGCGTCACTGATAGTTGAGTACTTTATGCTTCTCATATACCTTGCTTTCTCTTCAACCGTATGCGGTGACGTTTCTCTGGGCGGAATGCCCACTCAGGTTCTGTCGGCCTCACGTTTCGGTAGTGGGAGTGCAGTGCTTGCGAGTCCGACCTCTCCTTTGTGGCAGTTTACAGTCCTGGTGTTCGTACACATTCTTGCATCTGCATTTGACATTATGCTGCTGCACGAAGTGTCTTACCGCCAAAAAGGAGAGGATCGAACTGCAACGTGATACACGTGATGTGAATATGTTTATATATGAATTATAGAAATTTGGGAGAGTATACTTTGCGGCTAGATGAAATGTAGAACGCTTTTTGTGCTTGCTCAAAACTGTTTTACATTTGTATTCTAACGCATGATGTTTCATCTTTGTTGCTCATCTAGCCGCAAAGCTGCTCGAGCAGAGAAGGGTCAAGAAAGGCCCCGCCCACCCGCCCTGTGTGGTGTGGCACTTGCGTTGTGCATGTCTTACGGTACATAGTCAAGTCACCAGTGCCTTGTACATTGTCTGTACATTGAAGTGCGGACATTGAATGCATACGACTTCCGGCGTACTTCATGTGGTATCTTTGGCTATCTCAATACTTGTTTTATGGTCCTTGCTTTTGGTACTCTTACACTTCCGCAGCCGGTGTTCGTACACATTCTTGCATCTGCATTTGACATTATGCTGCTGCACGAAGTGTCTTACAGCCAAAAAGGAGAGGATCGAACTGCAACGTGATACACGTGATGTGAATATGTTTATATATGAATTATAGAAATTTGGGAGAGTATACTTTGCGGCTAGATGAAATGTAGAACTCGGCAGGCCGAATTTCGTCTGGAGAAACCTCGAAAGGAGCTTGATGTGGTCAACTCAAAAATCACTTTGAAGGACCAGGCAGTCGATCTTCAATGCCAGCTTCACACGCCGCTGTGCCTGCATCATGCTCTTCATAGACGGGCACTTGCAATGGATCTCGTTGGGGTAGCCAGCTACAGTGTGAGCATGGAATTTCACGAGTACTTGATGTCACACCTTACCATGGAGCCACCGCCTGGCTATCATCAAGTCACACTGCATCAGGTTCTAGCGATTCTAGCAGCTGACCGAGCCGCTTGGTTGCGACTCGCGGAGAAACTTCCTAAAGGGCTTCGTGCTGGTCCTGATGGGAAACTCCCGCTGGATGTCGAGCTCCCGAAATTGCAGGGCGACCCGAAAGTGGCTTTTCATCTCTTACCTCTGGGACCTTCTGCTTCATCATCCGGGAAGCGTTCGATGGATGGCGACCAGGGCCAGAGCAACGATTCGAAGATCCAAAGGACTGGAGGCAAGGGTAAAGGGAAGGGCAAAACCAAAACTAAAGCCATTCCTAAGTCTATGCCTGTGTCCCTCAAAGACAAGTGGTCGCGAACCAAACGCGGTGTTCCGATATGCTGGGCCTTCAACACGGAAGAGGGCTGTAGCTCAGCTCCAGCTGGAGGCAGATGCCCGAGGGGTGTCCACCTTTGCGCTGAACCTAACTGTCAAAAACCCCACTCGATCGTCAATCATGCGAAGGTTGCCAGTGGGTGAACTTTTCAGAACGCAGGTTGTGACTTGATTGAATCACTGGAGGTTTTCCTTAACCGGGCTAGGGCTCGGGTAACTGGTGTTTCGGTCGAGTCACTCTTTGGAGTTGAAGTTTTTGCAGGGTCTGGTCGCTTGACTTGCGAGCTCCGCAGGCTGGGGCTTAATGATAGTATTGGTGTTGACAAGAATGTCGGCCGATGCTTGATCGCACCGGTGTTGCGTCTCGACCTTGGTGACGAGCAGGCGCGCGAGCTTGTCGTGCAAATGCTAGAAAATCCCAGTTGTGCCTACGTTCATGTTTCTCCCCCAGCCTTGAACCAGAAACATCGCAGTTTGAAGCACCGTGATGGTGCCGATGCTTCATGCTATTCAGCCTCGTGTAGCTTGTTGTACGAGTTCTGCGGGAAGCTCTTTAGCATGTGCTGGTCCAAAGGCATTCTCTTTTCTTGCGAAAACCCTGGACAGTCAGAGCTGTGGCGAACGCCACAGTGGTGCAAGCATACGTTGTGTTTAAATTCCATTGATACTGTTTTTCACATGTGCATGTGGGGATCTCTCAGCCCTCGTTTCACACGCATTGTTCATTCTGTGCCTTCGCTAACGCAGCTGGGTGTTCGTTGTTGCGGTGTAAGTTCCAGCCACACGCATGAGTCCCGGAACGTGCTCCATGACTCCACATTCCCCCTAGATCTCAGTCGTGCGTGGGCAAATGCAATTGTGGAGCAACTTGTTGCTTTGGGCGCCCTGCCGCGTGCTCGCTCCTTGGATGAGTCTCGAGCTCCCCTACACCGTGAAGCCCAGGTAGCAGCAGCTTCACAGCCAACACGCAAGAAGGTACCTCCTCTTGTTAGTGAATTTCGCTGCGTGGCGACAATTGACACGCCTCTCCCCAACGAGGAACACTCCTCACCGGCAGGGCCCGAGGAGTCCCATTGGCATAGGGTTGTAGTAGGCATCCCATGGTTACCCGAAGAGTTCATCGGTAAAGCCCTGGAGGCTACGCACCCGAGGCACTTGATGACAGGCATCCCATCCGAACTAAAGTCCACAATCGATCAGCTTGTAACCCTTAGCCCATTTGAGGTTGGAGCCGAGAGGACGGCCCAGCTTAGGAAGTGGGTTGCGAGGGTACAGGAGGTTGAGCCGATGGAAAAGTTGATCAAGCAGCGGATGAGCGAATCTTGTGCAAAAGTCCTTCGGAGCAAACGCTTAGTGGTCTTCAAAGAGATGCTTGAAGCCAGTGGTCACAAGGATGATTCGATAGTCGGCGACATTGCCGAAGGTTTCAAGCTTAGCGGTCCCATACCGCCATCTGGGGTTTACAGGTCAAAAAGAACTTCGGCGACCCTTACCACGGCGGCGCTGAGAAGATCAGCACAAGTGCTTCGGAAAGGAATCATACACTCAACTAAGGGATCAGGCGACTTCGAGCTTGATTGTGCAACATTCGAAGCTACTTGTGATGAGCTTCACCGAGGGTGGCTTTTCGGACCAGTGCCAGAGAAGGACCTCCCGTCTGAGGCAGTGGTTACCCGTAGATTCGGCATACGCCAAGGAGGAAAGTGCAGACCCATCGACAATTACTTGGAATCAGGTGTCAACGCGACAACTAGCGCTGCAGACACCATCACTGTCCACTCGGCCGATGTGCTCGCTGCCGCCTTGTCGTACCGCATCCACAAGCTCCGCTCAAAGCGACTGTCAGCAAGCTTGTACTCCAGGTCGTGGGATCTTGCCAAAGCATACAAGAATCTTGCGCTCCACCCTGAATCAGTTCCTGATGCTTTCCTGGCCGTATGGAACCCACATACACATAAGACTGAGATCTATGGCCAACTGGTGTTGCCATTTGGTGCCAGATCCAGCGTACACTCATTTTGCAGAACTTCGCTGGGGATTTGGAACATAGGGGTGGTGTTGTTCCTCCTGCACTGGGGGGTATACTTCGACGACTTCTTGGGATCCGAAACACCCCGCCTGTCCAAGCTGTTCGAACTCTGCGCAGACGGGTTGTTCCTGATATTGGGCTGGGCTACATCCTCTGACAAAGCTTCGGTTTTTGATTCCATTTCGATTGTACTTGGCCTGAAGATCAATCTCTCCGAATCTGGAATCGGCTTCGTCTACTTTGAGAATACCGACAAGAGGCGAGATGAGCTGGTGTCCACCCTCGGCGATGTCCTTTCTGCGGGGTTCCTTAGCCGCAAGGATGGCGAGCGACTACGTGGCAGGCTACAGTTCGCAGAGCAGCAGATTTCTGGCAAAAAGGCTGGATTGGCCTTTAAGGAACTCTCGAGGCATGTGACGAAAGGGGGCGGCAAGTTGGTACCCGAAACCATGGCTGCCTTGACCACCCTTAAAAACCACATTGCTTGTGCTCCAGCTCGCTGCATTGCGGATCGATCGTGCTTTACCTGGCACCTCTATGTCGACGCTTCATACGATGATTCGCGGGCTGGTATTGGTGGCATCTTGATCTCAGAGTCGGGAGCCTACATTGGCCACTTCAGTGAATTCCTCGACGATGCAGCTTTGACATCCTTGAATACAACTGGGAGCGAGAATCCGATTTTCGAGTTGGAGTGTTTCGCTATCTGGTGTGGCATTTCCGCTTGGGCACGCTTGCTTCGCCACTGCCATCTTATTGTATTCACTGACAACGAGGGAGCTTTGCACTCGATGATCAATGGTCGCAGCGAGAATGATTCTGGTGGCCGTATCGTTTCTGCTACGCATGACCTACTTGACGAAAGTTGCATTGCTCCGTGGTTTGAACGTGTCAACACAGCTTCCAACATAGCTGATTTTCCTTCGCGGGGAGTCTCTAAAGAAGAGTGGGGAGCGAGAACTCCCATTGATTATGTGCGCCTCGCACGGGTGGCTGAAGCAGGGGGTGACGTGCCACCGTTCGAGGCTTTCAGCTCGGCGGTGTAATGTGTGTGTGGTGTGAGGTCCCACACGTGGGCTCAGTGGGGCACTGCCGCATTTGCGGCGTGCCAACTTAGTGAATTCATCACCCCTTGACTTCGAGTATCGTCGTAAAAGATTGCCCGAGTGCGAGTGTTTGCACCATATTCACATGCAAAGATA